TTATAGTGTGCATCTGACATGTAGGGGTGGTTATAGTGTGCATCTGACATGTAGGGGTGGTTATAGTGTTGCCAGTCTTCCCTTTTGTTGACCTTTCATTTTTCCATCCTTTTTCTATTCCGATTTGACGATAAATGGAGATGAAAATGTGCTTTACTTATTAGAAATTCACGGGGCCTGACAAAATGTCCCATTGGCACTCTGCATATTTTACCAAACTTTTAATCTCTACTAAGATTTTTGTTGAAATTAGTCCTTTTTTAGGGCATGTAAAATCTTATTTGGCTGTCAATTGGAAAGTAACATACATGCTGTTTTCTTGAATGAGCCTCTGTTTTGCCTTAACAAAGTCGTATCTGTTCTCTTTTTTTTCTCCATGTTGCCATCAAACTATTGTATAACCACAGATCTTCTTTATTAAAAAAGTGTAAATCTACCTGGCACCACTACACTGATGGCCACATCTAATCAAAATAACTGTAATAATCATTTGGAAAAGAAAAAAGAAACACCTGTTGGCTTATTTAAACTTCTCTTTAAGTATGACTTGAATAGACAAAGTACCAGGGATAATGTAGCAGTCTGTGTGATATAAAGAGAGAGGGCATGGTTTGGTTGTGGAGAAGAAGCAACCTCTTCCTGATCGGAAATACCAACATTTGCTGGTATTTGAATAATTTCTGTTATCCATGCTCTGTTGAACTCACTTGCCAGCAAATCTTGGCAAAACTGTGTTCTGTTTATGTGCCTCATGACTCCCCAGCGTTGGTTTCGGTGATTGTTTGGCTTGACGTCTTTTCCTCCTCAGGACAGTGTACAAAAGGATTAAGAGTAAGTGGCAATTTGGCTGTAGAAAACCATAGGAAAAATGTTTGTGCTTAATTTATTTTTTGTGTGCAGGAGTATATGTCCGTTATATGCAGACCAGTCCTGGTCATGCCACACTTGTTGAAAAAGATGTGAAATGGAAACCAGAATGAAGCTAAACTACGTCTGGGCACTTTGGGCAATTCCCATGATCTTGCATCACAAATGGATTAGTCTACATAATACATTCCCTTCTCTAGGCTTTTACACATGCTTCTTAGGCAAGGTTGTCAACCCTTAAGATCCATTCACCATTTAACCTCCTCCCCAACATGTTCATATTTGTAGGATTACTTTAATACTGAGAAGTGTAAATATTTGGACAGGTTGCAGAAGTGTGTGGTGAAGAGCCAAGGTAGAGCCAGGCACAAACAGCTATAGTGTAAAGGATATTTATGAGTGCTCACCATTATTGATTAGCTTTGGGTACGGAATCACCCCTCATTTCTTGAAGGTTCTCAATCTTGGAAACATGATGAGAAGGGTGATCAATACGTGTGGTCAGCTTTGTGATCATTTACAAAAGTTTATTGATTTTTAAGTTGCCATAGTAACCTGAGAGGGTAAACAGAGGAGGCCTAATAAATCCAAGAATTTTCTGTGCACTTGCAATAAATGCCATAGAGTTTACTGCCCAGTTTTAGACCTTTTATTCCGTACCCCTTTTTATCCATCTCTCTGACAAACCTCTGGAAACCATTTGGAACTGTTGTTGGTATCTCCCCCCCCCCATAAAATTGGATTTTGGAGGATATGTGCATTTTTCTGATGCTGTGAAATTGCTGAATGTTATCATACTAAGGCTGATCTTTGTATACCTAAGTATTTTTCCATCTTCTCTTTTTTTTTTCCTCCTAAAGCAGTAACATTGGCACGGTAATCATATACTGTCATCCATCCGTCTATCTTCTCTGAAACCAACACTAAAGCTTACACTGATATATAATATTATCAAGTTACCTTTTTCTTTTGTCTCATAATTGATTGCGTTGGGGGAAAATAAACAATTCTAATTTGCTTGGCTCAAAAAACTGGGGTGGGGATTATCTTAATGGTCCCTCTACCCTGTCCAAAAATTAGGGGGTGGATATACCCCCGTCCTCCTGGGAATAGGCCCTTGCTTGGGAGTCATTCTTTTTTCAGAATGGTAAATATGCATTTTGTTCTTTTCATTTTCAACCTAGCTCTAACTTCAGCTTAGTACTTTGCAGTACCTAAAATATGTATTGCAGTATACCTGAAGATGTCAGATTTTATCTTGGTATTTCACTTAATAATTACTTGTTGATGTCAGTGGGAAGTCGGTGTTTAATTTTGGATCGAGTGTGACTATTTTAATGTTATTGAGATGGCTCAAGGAACTTGCAGCTTTTTGGATGCAGATAATGCATGCGTTAAATTGTGCATACCATGCCCACCATATTTGTTTCAAGTTCTCGATGTGAAGGCATAAATTGTTGGCGGTTTTTGCCCGTATAGATTTCAACACCTCACTGCATTTAAACTAAAACTCAGTTTTGTTCCTTTTGATGAGGAATGATTAATTACTATTAAATATGCGAAACTGCCTAGTTTGAACTTCAAGCGATATCAAACCTGTGTAGACTTTCAAATTCAACAGTAATGTTTGTAAAGAATGTTTTGAACTTTTATAATAAATACATTACTTCTAATGATTCATGTTTCATTGATATTGCATTTGGCAAAATTGTACATATACACTGTACCATCATTTCAGAATTTGTCATTATTTTTGATACTGGTAATTTTAATTTCTTTTTCAATGACAATTTTTGCAAACCTTTTATTCATTTGGACCACAGCAGCATTTTACTCCAGAAAAATCAAATCAGGCTTACATTAGATGTGTGTGAACATACATGTACAGTCCTGTTTTTACAAATCAGCAATGTTCCAAGCGTCCATTGTATACCTGGATTTCCAGGTTTCTTTTAAATAGCTGCAGAAAGCCATTTTTTAATTCAAGCAATAAAGATGGAATTCACTGATGGGCTATTTTGTATTTAGATTCTTAAGACCTAAACACCAATCCTTACAAATCCCCCCTCCAGCTTTCCAATCAATTCGTCCCCAGTCAACCATTCCAAGCTAGCGATTGGTCTTTAGATTGTGTCACTGACTTGCCAGGCCGAGCCTTGTACACGAACAACGCACGCAATTAATTATTAACAAGTGAGGCACAGTATGTGTGTGTGTGTCTGCCAGCAAAGGCTGCTGGTATCTTCTGCCTCATCCATGGAGACAGGCAGTGTAGGAGAAGGTAGCCTTTGTGCATGAACTACTGCAAGAGTGGAAGATAATATGCGTTCCATGGGGAGAGTTCTGGCAAATATTTAAGGGGGAAAAAGTGCAGTTGACCACCACATGCTGAACTTTCTTAGCACCCCCCAAAACATATCAGGAGATAAATATCGGAAACTAAGAATAAAGAGTGCTGAAAAAAAAATAATCAATATTTCTAGCAGGCGGTGATGGACAAAGTGGAAAAATAGCTACCGGCGTGACAGCTCACTTACACATGTAACCTGGTGTCTGTGATCAAGTCCTGGTCAAGAGACCTTAGAGAGCTACGAGTTACAGTACTACAGATACGTAAGTTTCCTGAGCCCAAGTATTCATCTATTACCCGAGGCATCTACTTCTCAAAACTAAGAAGAGGAGTAGGGAAGAGAGCAGAGCACACACGTCTAGAAGTAGTGTCAACACAGACACACTAGCGGTGACGGATTAACCATTCCAAAGACTGGTGGAGGTGGTGTGTGTGTGTGTCTACGTAAACTGTCGTCAGAGATTTCTCGTCCATCGTGTGGGAGATATGACTTGTGTTGGATCATGACACGCTGGATGTCAAGTAATCTCAGATTGGTTCTGCTGACTGCTGTTGTCGTAGGAGTCACTGCAGAAATCAACATTGACGGAGAAGGGTGAGAAATGTGAAACTTAACTGTCTTATTGTCTAAACTGTTATCTTCTTGTCATTTTTTGCACCTGTATTTTTAATGGCTCAATACCTCGTGAACAGACTCTCAAAGTATAATTTGTGTGGATTACACTGGCTTGTCAAATACTTGCTTTTGAGGCACAAAAAGTATTAGAGTCCCTTAACATTTTTGAAATAGTTTGCGAGAGATTCGTGCATTAACTGTTTCTTTGAATATGGCATTTAATCACCGCTTGAGAGTGATCTTTATACACTGATCTAATTGCACCTTCTCATTTTTCCTATGTCAATTCTGTTGTAAATCAGAGTTCAGGAATGGGCCAAATCATTTGGAGAGGCGCTATATGAGTTGAGTCTCAAATACAGTGGAGCCGAGTTCATCAGGAATGTAAGTTACTCTATAAATTTCTCAAACCAAAGTTTCATAAAGTACCCTTTCTATTTTCCGTGTTTTTCATTTGAGGACTTTGTGGATGTAATTGTAATTAAGTATTTCTGTTGTTTAATGTAATGCATGTTCTGCCCAGCAGAGGGAAAACACTTCAGTTACGGCACATGTTGGGAGTTACCTTTCAAATTCATCCTGATATGATTCGTGTTGAGTGAGGCCCTTGAATATACAGGAAGTCAGTGCGCAAGTTGCTGAAGTCCAAGCTTGTTAGTTGTAACTTAATGTAGCTGTTCAAGTTTTGAGGCAATTTCCCCATGATCGAGGGCACTAGCTTCCGTCAGAGAATTAAATTGTTTGCCGGGAACAGTTTAGATGTGGGAACACCAAGGCAAGGACCGGCGGCAATTGCCTGTCTCGCGTCTTTGACATTCTAGGGCTAGAGTCTATATATAGGCAAGAGCAGTGCACCACAGCCCTGGTAAAAATTGATTGGCACACTGTACTGAAACTTGCAGATATCACATGAAATTATCATGTGCTGTAGTGCGATAGTCACACCAGACTTCATTGGCATAGAAATGGGTTAATCTGCAGCTACTGCTTCCAGATGCATCATTACCCAGCCAAACACCCCCCCCCTTCAAAACTGTCATTGCATGGTTATATCTTTGTGTCCTCCTGCCCTGAGCTAAAAAATACAGGAGACTGACAGAAACACTAAGGTGAAAACGAGAGTCAGTCTATCCTGCCCATTGCTTGGAAGTACTTTGGTTCAAAGATTAAAAAATCAGCTTGGCTTTGGATCATAAATACATAATCCTATGTCAAAAGCCTAAAGTTGTGTAATTGAACCAAAGCCTCAATTAAAACTCAGTGTCTATAATGTGGCTGGTGATGTTTTCCAGTATTGCCAAAACGCAGTTGATAAACAACCTGAGATTTTTCTCGTGTGCGCATTTTACAGCCCATTACATCTTCTTTTAGTCACAATCGGGTGTTGACATTTCAAGGTTAAATTTAATTGATATTTATCCTCTATCCAAGTTGGCCTGGATTCTATGCAGTGGTCTGGGCAATGTGGTTACGTTGAGAAATTGTTGATTTTATGCAATGGTGTAAAGAGGTGCCAACACCACCAGAAAAGAGCAAATCATTGTTTTGGCAATATACACGTAATGAGAGAGAGGTACTTTTTGGGTCTGCTTCATTCTCTGTGTTATAAAAGCATATAAAAATCCCAAAATGTAAATGTAAGCCCCACCTCTTTAAAAAAACACAAAAGGCCCAGTATATTATGGTATAAGATATTTTCCTGAGAATATTACTCTCCCATGACACCGTCTGCCACATGCAGTTTGGTGAACTTTCCACTGCAATTGAAACACTGACTTTTCTGTGTCATCGTGTCATGGGAAATCGTCCACATCACCCGTCAGACAGTATCTGTCTGAGGAACATGCCAACACTCCTGAAATATTCATGGGCTCACATTAGTAGATTGAGGGACCAGCCTCCAAAAAGAAAGGCCATAAAAGGTTAACCCCCCAAAAAAATCCAATCTTTCTCCCCCCCTCCCAAAAAAAAGATGGTTCTGGATCTGCTCATGATTCAATGGTGAAAATATTTTCACGAGAATTTAATTCTTTCTTTTCTTCCTGAAATGTTCTGAGAGTTTTACCAGTTTGAGTTTGATCTGAAATGCCCACAGATTCTACAGAAAAATCCACCACAATGTATTTGTTTGGCTTGTTTTTTTTGTAGTGTCGCCTTTGTTTGAGACATTCAGGACAGAGGTCAGTTTTACCTGCCCTGCCATTCATCCCATTGCTGTCTACTGAAGCACTGTATCTGAATCATACAAAAAAAAAAATTAATGCCCTTCTGCCTTCTTATTCATAATTAACCTACATGTGCCAACAGCGACAAGCAAATAAATGGTATCGGTGATGGTTGTGTGTGATTGAAGTCACAGTGCATGGCTATACTGGAGAGGCCATCTGGAAGTGACACCAGACTCATGGGACTTAGCAGTGGAACCAAATTTCTGCTTCAGGGAGGAAGGGATTGAATACACACATCTATATGAACCCATCGGCCAGACTGACATTCCCAATGACTCCGTTCAATGGCCGAAAACACTGTGATAACTATTATTATGAAGCATTTGTTCTGTTTTAGTTTTGGGTTAAGCTGTACCTCTAAAAATGTGTAATTATCTTGGGTTAAACTCCTTTTTTTGCCACTGCAAATTCTGTCCATTCCCCACAAAAAAATCATCAGGCGATGCTGAACAAAACTTTATATCAGTCACTTTGTACATAAATTGATGCTGACTACCAATATACGTATGTCCTCTAGAGACAATAGAAACATCTCTAAAAATAGCTTTCTTTTGAAGGCAACTCAGCCTTGAAATTGCCTTTGTCATCTACAAGGTTTAGTTTCTGCAACAGAAATTGTTTCGGCCTTGTATGTACAGTCCATTCCTGTCTGATTGAGTCCACCTGATGAGGTACATGTGGACATCAGGATATGAAATCTACACTAAATAGAAAGAACAGACCTAAAAAGAGAGGAAAATTGTGCCGCTTTGGGTTTGCTGGATGCCACCCATTCACAAGAGCAGAGCTAGTGAGAACGCTTTGAATGACAGATGTGGGATAATTATACCAGTGAATGCCTAAATGTTCTCAAGGGAGGAATAATATTGGCTGTGTTTGAAGTGAAACTTTCCATGTGCGGGAATACTTTCAAGGGGTGGAAGTGAGAAAGAATAATTGCTGTGTAGATCGATATTCAGCAATTTAGTTTGATTGTTGCTAGGAAACATTGGAATATCTGCAGAGTTTGTTGGGCACCAGTTGGAAATTTGATTGCAGATTATTGCCAGGGATACAATGTAGCTCCAAAGTCCTTTCCGTTGGAACTACATTCAGAGCGGCGATTTTGTCAAACACTGGTAGGATATTGTTTTTCTGTCATTGATACGTCCTCAGGTGTTTGTATCTTGAACTGACATGTAGTAAAGAGATTTGCTGTCCTAGAGATCTGTCAGAGTTGTCCCCTAACAAGTGCATATTTTCTGGCACCAGATTTTCCCTTTCGCACTTCTCATTTGTTCTTATATCGCTACCTTCCCCCTGTGGAGTTAATTGACGTCTTAGGGGCCCTTGCTTGCCCATGTTATGTCTTCTGTTGCCCCTTGATCTTGTCGTCAGTATGTCTAAAATCTTCCTTGGACAATTGGATCCTGTGATGGACGTGCCCTTGACCATTAGGAAAAATTGGCTTGCATGATATCTTTAAGAGCCAGGTTTCATGCTTGCAGACTGTTATTTCTTGGTGTCTGAGGTATGGTTCTGTACCACTCTCCATTCTTGCAGTGTAAGCCATTTTGCCAAGTCGAACTGCCGTGCAAAAAATCTGATAAGCATGCGAGGCAATGCCAATGAATCCCCACCTCCCCATGTGAGTACAAATCCCCAATGCCTCCGAGAATGGGAATTACAGAGATGGCAACGTCTGAGTGCAGTTCCTGGCAAATGGACGACAGTTGGGGGGGGGTTCACAGCAGACTCATCGTGGTTATTACAAGATGCCCTGGTTGTGGCAATACTTTTAAACCAGTGACAGTTTCGCCGTGTGTTATTTTCTTCCTCTTGGCTACAGCATGTTAGTGGATCCCTCTAATTTGCCATAACCAGTCATATAATTAGATCTAGTTGGCTCTAATTCGTCTGGGCCCAAGTGTCAGGTGGATAACTACGCCTAACACATGTGCAATAAAGTGCAGGTTGGTACCGCATGCCAGGCACAGTATGGTGCAACGGTCAGCTATGAAAAGACAAATTTGTTGAAAGCAGTTCAGTTTACTCTTGAGCTGTCCTTAGGCACTTTTTTGGTGTTGTCATGGTAATACTTTAGGACAAATTCTTGTACAGTATGTTTACAGGTTAATATTTACGCACATTATGCCTAAACTTAAATGCTTCCTTTTTTACAGAGTTCCATTTTTTTAAGAACATCATTATATTACGTGATTTCTCAAGATGTTTTTGTTAGAATTTTTAACAGTGCAAATGATTAGTTCCTCTTTACCCAACATCCAAATCACTCCAAGCCATATGTTGTGCACAATTCATAACAGTCTGAAGCAGCTTGTGCCAAAATATTCATTTTTTTTCTTGGATCAAAAAGGTTGACGTACCTTGTCGGTCCATGTAACTATCACAATGTGGAAAGCACAATACAATTCAGTATGAGTATATATGTACCTGTCTAGATGTGAGATAATAAGATACTTCATCAGATATTCCCTGCATTGTCAAAGCAAATAAAAAAAGATTGATTTCTGTTGATAATATTGACTTGTTCTTGGTTTCAAATGCCAAGGTAAATTGACGATGTACGTGCCTTTTCAGTAATGAATGCAACCCTAATTGGAACAGTTGACAAATGTTTTTTTAATAAAACATGACATATGGTCGTCATTTTTTTGTTTGTAGTGGTGGTTGTTTATGTGTATTTGGCCCAAAGGTGGCCATTAAAATAATACAGTTGAATTTTTAAAATTCTCCTCAGACTGTCAGATTAATGTGCCCAATATTTGAGGCTCTTAAATGCAATCCCCAATCTAGGAAAGTCTGTTTTGTGTGCTAAGGCAAAATAATTTGGGCCAGTTTACTCTCACCAATCGATTACTTTTGGTAGAGTTAATGGCATCTTTACCCACCTGATGTTGCCGGGACTTACATGTAATTTATTTATGCTGATGTGGTATTAATGACTTTCATTGTTCCCAGTTGTAGGGATCGTCCCTCTCACCTTATATTTTGTCCCACTTATACCCTAAATTCAGTACCAGCAGCTTTTGAGCTAATGCTGAATAAATATAAAAGGTAGAACTTTTTATCATGAAGTGCAACATTTTTCAACTTGGCCTATCCATTTAAATCCCCCTTCAGGGCCCTGTTAATAATGGACTATACTTCAGATGAAGCAAACATTTGCTGACAAGTAGTTCTTCATGTCGACTTTCAGTTGTGGCATTGTACTGTGAAGATTTTTTGGTGCATTCCGATATGAATGCGTTGATATTTCACACTGTCTGTGCTTCATGACATTTTGCATCACTACCTGGAATCAGCCTCCCCCCTTTCAGTAGCTGTGGCAACATTTCCCACACAAATATCAAAATCCAACATGCTCTAGCTGACATGCCATTCTTTAAATCATTAATATATTGATGATTTTTCTAATAATGCAGATAAAAACCACCAGAATGAGAATCGCCGACGTAGAATTTCAGAAGACTCAAACCTTTTAATTGAAACAGTAGTCTTGGAAATTATGCGTGGGAGAAAATAACAGTTGCCTTTGAATGAATTACATTTATTTGTTTGCTTACAGCCAGTACATTCCTCTAACAGAAACTTTGGATTCACCTGCCAAATCACTGAGGAAAAATTTCCTCTGAGCCAATTGTAATCCATCATAACCATCTAATGAAACTGTAGTCTTTATGCACAATTTTTACAATGTTTACTGTTTGGGGCCTTTTAAAAACATCTGTTGAGAGTTCATTTGGCTATATACAGCCATATGCAAATTTGAAAGTGCATCCACACTGGTAAATTAATTAGCTTCTCCCAAAGGGCTATTTAGCCTGCTGGGTTGCATTCTCTCAGAGACCGTGGATCCATATAACTCCAGCTGTGTTCACTCATCAGCGCTTGCAACCTTGTTACAATTTTCCATGCCCTGGGTTTGGACCTGTCTTTTTTTAGGTGTAGTCTCCATCCATCTACAGTTCCTGGCAATCAAAGCCAAGTACTTGGCTCAATTAGAACACTTTATACAATCTGATTGGTTGGCACCAGTCATTCAGTGTGTTTTACTGTGTTAAGGGGCAGTTAATCTGATCACTGCAACAATTCCTTCAGTTACAAAGCTAGAGGCTGGCAGTGGAAATAAAAAGACGTCAGATCACTGAGAATCGAGAAAGAGTATTTAGGAAAAGCAAAAAAGATCTCTATTCAATTTATTAAAAAAATTGTTATCATATTGTATTTGTAAAGATAAACTAGAATCACTGTTCCAAATTCCTTGTCCTGCTTGTTGGCATGATAAAGTAAATGTTTTAAAACTGTTTTCTTTCGTCCGTCAAATATTTTTGGGAACTTTTTTACATTTATCAAAGCAACATACTGTTGCTGTGATAGAAATGCCCAGAAATACTGTAATGAGAATAAAGGTGCTGTCTCACCCCTCTCCTTGGAGATATGGGCGATATTCTCAAAAAGTCTGCAGAAGGCAACGTGAACTTCAGCTTACATATGATAGAAAACTTGACAAAACAGATATGCAGTTGACCAGTTCTTGCTTTGCCTAGCCTCAAATTTAAAAGGTGTGTCAGGAGGGGTAATTTATTGTTGGAAAGTGGAATCTTTCAGGAATTAACCAAGCTTACCTTTACAATAAAGTGTATGCTTCGGCAACTAGTGCAACCAAGTTAATATTATCCATGATTGTCTAATAAACATTGGGAATTTTTAAACAGTGATGGTCAGGCATGGCCTTGTTGGGAGAAGGGTGGAGTATGGTGGGCTGGACTGCCCGTGAGCAGAAAACAGTTCCATTACAAAGGATGCTCACTTTCACGAATGGTTAAGAGAAGCAGTTGTGGTAAAACACTTGCTCAGGGACACAAGGAACTTGGGCCAACAAGGCAATTAATGTGGCTAGAACATAGGCCCTACGTGAAGGTTTGTCTTCAGAACTCTCCATACTAAAACTGCTCATGTAACATTCTTTTAATAATATTATTGTTCATGACCCTCCAGTATTATTCAATTGTCTACAGCATTCGATCATAACTTGATTCTTGTGCTCCTTAAAATTGTTGAGAATACTCCCTCCTTGGATGGGTCTGCAGACATTAAACTGCATCACAACACGCAGTTAAAGGGGGAAAAAAATCAAATTAAACCCCTTGAATTTGTGCATAATTCAAGGGTGCACCGTATAACGTTGGCCTTGCTCGGGAATGACTGAATGGGTCTGTGTTGATTTATCCAATTTATGCAGAATCCTTCCTGGTGGTACACAGTGTAAACAGTATCAGTTGCCTTGCGTGTATTGATTTTGGAATGATATCCATGGTAATTGTTGGACAAAAAGACGACAGGCAATCTGTTGAGTTCTGCGCATGCAACAGACAATTTTTTTTGGATTAATGGCTGGGGTGGTGTTCCTTGGTTAGTTGGATCACTTAACATTCATGTGGAAGCCAGCACAGCATGCATGTTAGGCAGAAGAGAAAATGTCCTCACAAGCAATTTGTTTCTTTAATTATTGATGCTATTAAACAAAATGAAATTGATGTCAACATGACTGAAAGGCCAAGCTTTATAGTATTTTCAATTCTGTCAGTTATTTTAGTGCATTTGAGCTGTGGTGTAAAACAGAAAAACTGCATTTTCATTTCTTAAAGAGCTACACTCTTAGATAGTTGAAATTCAGTATGCGACTTACATGTAGCATTCTAAACTGTCCGATGTTAAATTTGACTTTCTTCTGCTTTACATCCAGTCTTCTTAAATCAGGACAAGATGCACATGGTCAGTTGTATAAAACACATTCAAAGATTTGAATCCTTCTTCCATGCACAGTAACTCAAATGCAGTCCCTTCTCTTCTTAATTTATTTTGGTCTGCCCCAACACCTGCTCATTTTTCAAGTTCCTAATCTGCCTGGTTGGATTTCATCATATTTCATCATAATCATATTTCCTGTTCCTTTATTACTTGCATGTACAAGGGGAGTGATAACAGGTAATAACTCTCCACCAAACTTCTGCTTGTTTTTATAGCAAATCTTGGAATTAGCTTTATTAACTGATTTGATGACTGTCCAAGTTTTTTTTATACGGGGTTAATTTATCACATAGACCTGCTATGATGCTGTCTTACATTGGCTCGGTTTACATTCAACACCTAGACTTTAACACCTGCACATAACCATATCCTGCCAAACCACCTTGGCCCAGAACTTGTCCTTGAGCTGCAGGCCTAGAGGCTGGCAATGAATACATCCTGATCAATACCAGGCAGAAGTCTGGCCAGATTGTCCACCTGGTTTAATGTTTGCTCCCACATGACACACATACTTTGATGGAGGAGGTCGGGGGGATGCTTTCCTGAAGGAAGTCTTGCTCTGCTTATGTTTTCCCCTGCAGGGCCAGGTGAGAATTCACAAGGCCTTAGGAGACCTACTCTGATCCACCCTAACCATACACACGATAACCAATCCCTGAAATAAAGAACACTGACAGCCTAAAGGAATCCTCATCAGTGCAACAGTGAAAAGTGTACTGTACCTCATGTTCCTAGTACAACAGGGATTTTACATGTGGAGTGTTGTTAGCTTGAAATTAGCAAAAATTTAACATATGTAATGTGTAAGCAGTGCAAAATTCTTGAGGTCTTCAAAGGCCTTGACTGAAAATCCTAAGGCCCGAAGTCATGGCCATGGCTAAAGCTAAGGGTTTTGCCCAACACTTCAAGGCTAATATTGAGCCCCACAATGTAGCCTCAGTGCAGCCTGAAGGCTAAAGTTGAGCATCAAAGCACTAATATTACTGTCTGTCCCTCATCATCTCTCTATGTCCCAACCCTTCTACCCCAATCCTGCCCCTCAGACCTCAAGAAAGAGGACTGGATTTCCTCTCTCACACTTTGCATACTTTAAACAATTTCTTTCTGTAGTTTTGCAACATTCAGCAAATATCAGACTAAAGTGAACTGATAAAAAATGTAACAAATAACGCCAAAGCAGATCTATAAAAATGGATGGTTCCTAAACATCTGTTAACCCTAAGAATACTTTTTGGTCTTGGACAGTACTGGTCTCGAAAATTCTTTACGATACATAAACACAAGGTGTCGTTACACATCATTAATTTTTATGTAGTAATGTAAATGATGAGCTGAATATGATGTGACGGAACTGTATACCTAGGATAAAGGCATAGCCCATAAACTTGCATTGGATCCTCCAGCAAATATGATACTGTCAAATCTATGCTATGATGTTCCAATTCCAATATTAGGTGGTTAGATTTTGGTATGCACATCCACAAACTGATGTGTATGATAAATTCAGAAAAGCCAACATTATTGTATGTTTGTGTGAAAGTTAATTGTCAGGTTTTTTTGGGGGGGTGGTGTCAGGGTCAATGGTACAAGCATAGACATACCTATGGAATATCAAGGCATCAGAGGTATAGGGGCACGTATAGGCTTTAATGTTATTGTTGATCTACTCATATTAATCTAAGTAAGTAGCTTGACCTCTTTAGTTTCCACATTTGCATCCAAGCAGCCTTACTCTGCTTTAAGGTGTGGCTATGCATACTCATTACATGCCATTCCTTTTTGCTGAGTTATTGACCTGACATTGAGACATTATAATCACTGTCAAATCATTGGTGTATCATATGATTTTTGTATCAATCACCCCTTCCCTTCCCCCCCCCCCGAGCTTTTTTCTCTTACGGTTGTCATGTGTGTCAAACCGTTTCCTGTGGTTCTTCGCAGGAGTACAAACGTCGGGATGATCTACGGGTTGAGAGGGTGGATGGAATCAAAGTGGTGCAGGAGATGGCAACCAGGATGGAGAGCATGCTGGAGAACAAGGTGCTAGCTGTTGAAGTAAGTTGCTTCCCCAGTTAAGGCTTAGCTTACCCCATCCCATCACTCCCACCTCACCCTACCCTATCCCCTCGTATCCACCCACATCCCACCACACCTTATCTCATCCGCCCTACCCCATCCCTCCCCATCAAATCCCCAGTTTGAACTTTCCCTGAGTTTTTTGACCAAAAATTATCTCCTCAAATTGTTTATTACTTATAGCCTCAGTTTAAGGAGACAGGAGATAGACAGTATTCAAACATAAAATAAAATTTGACTTATGAAAAGGATACCAGTCAGTTTTTCTTTTGTTTCAAAACTTCTCTCAAAAAATGATGATCTTTCCCCCTTCAAGACCCCTTTACTTTCATGCCCAAATTTCTTCAACATTTTCACTCTCAAGTGTTCATGTAACACTCCCAGTTCTCCCATCATCAGCCCCAAGGTACTTTGACCTTCTGCCATTCAGGGACTCCTAAATTTTAATACACAATCTTTTAATAAGTTGCTGCTTTCCTGTCCGCTTCCTAGCCTCGCGTTCTCACCATGTTTTATATATCCTGTTTCCGGCATACCTTACTGTATCAGAAGTACCTCTTGTCTACTTCAGTACTCAAGTCTGTGCTTTAATTGGTTGCTCTCCGAAAGAAACTGGAGTGACATCCGTCCACTTCTTAGAGTTTGCCGTTGCTGCCCAGAATTATTCATTCCTCCGCGAGTCTCCAGCCAGTTCTCTTGACACCATTTCTCTTCTCCCCTGCTGAAAGCAGACACTCATTGTGCATATCCAATTTGTCGCTGGCTAGAGAGATGCCTGAAACATCACCCCGACTTTCCTGTGTCCAGTTGGAGCGCTTCACTACATTTTTTTGCGTCCATAGAGGTGATTCCATTGGGTTCTTGGCAACCTCTGACACTTTGTCTCCAGTTGGATATGTAGGACAAGAAGGCTTACATGAAAAATAGTGTTTCCTTATTAGGTTCCAAGAGCCACCACGCGAGATCGGGTATCTGCATTAAGAGGATATCGTGTGCTAGTGGAAGATTTAATAGGAAAAATTTGCTGTTAGTTTTCTGTGTTAGTAGGTACAGGGGTATGTCATACTCCCAGTCAAAGTATAATTGAGAGTGAGAAGGGAAGGGAATGTGTTCTCTTATTGCATGTGGTTTTTTGTTCCCACAGGAGAATTAAAACCATCTTGGAATTTAAAAGTTCAGAATTAAAACAGGAACCCTGAGTGCAGTCATCCAGAACTTCCACATTTCTTTTCTCTCCACTGAAAAGAAATCAGACTTTCTTGTTGGAGGAGAAACATTCCCGCTGATGTGGTCAGTTTGCAGTGCCTGATAATGCCTTTGATTGGCTGATACACGCCAGCTATTCCTTTGACCTCCACCAGTGATGGCTTCTGACCTCTTAACCCCAATCACCCTAACCCACTCTCCCTCTTTCAAGCTACTTTACCTGACTTGTAAACCCAGGTTAACGAAACTCTTGAAGAGGACGTGTACCCCATTAAAGATAATTGACACTAATCATTCAACATCATAAATACATGTACTCCCTATTCTTAACCTTGCAATCTTATGACTATTTTCTAGGCAGTAAACTGCCTCAGACACATTAAGTACTTTGATACTTTAAAGAGAAAAAGTATCAAACTTTCCCCCAAGAGAGTAAAGCAGTTCATTTGTATTTCTGAAATCATCCCCCCCCAAAAAAGAAAAAAAAGTATAAACAAAGTTTATGCTGCGGTCGTTTTATTCAGCAGTCACCCACATCAAAAATTTATATCACCAGCATATGCTCCTCCCCTAAGAGATATCTGAATATTCATGACCTTGCTTAAGTGTACAGGGCATGCATGCTGCCCTAAGGATGTTGGCTTACCCAGACACTCACTCTGGAATGAATATGCCGCCGTGAAAATAGTCCACAGAAGCCGCCTCTCGCAGCTGCTTCTTTTTATTTTATTCCTACATCTTCAACACCCCCGACCCCCTTTTTTTATCATTCATTCCAGCACTGGGAGCTGAGAGCCACTTCCAATTAGCCATTGTCTGTGTTTCCTCTCCGTCCACTGAGAGGTACAACAGTCCTCACGGCTGCAGTTTCCCTCCTCTCATCCCTTGATTACTCTCAGCACAGCTGCATAGAGGAAGCTGGCATTTCTCCCACCTCCTGATTGTCAAACTAAATACGACTTGTAATTTCATCCAAAATGGTGATCAAGGATCACCCTGCTGTTTCAAAATTAAATGAACTTTTTTTACCTTGTGTCACGGCTTTAAATGCAGAGGCCAAATTGGTTGGTTGCAATTAACTTAGTATCTGAATGCTGCTATTAACTTTAAAAAAAACAGAGAGTAAACTAGAAGAGAAATTGCATTTGAGGGAGTTAATTTTGTTATTTCAAAAAAAATTCCTTCATTTTTTCTAAAATGCAAAACCTTATTATTGGTGACATTTTAAAGGTGGGACCTTTTTATTGTTTTGCTATTTCATTAGAGAGGCAGTCTGCTTTGAAATTTGAGACGGTAATTTCACAGCTGTTGGCATTTTCTTAAACTTTTTCATTTTTAACCATTTTTGTAATTAACTTCTAGGTTCTTAAATTTTGACCCACAGAATAGCCTTGACTGTGACATTTGTCAATTACAGAATAGAGCTGCCCTTGTTACACCACTGGCTTGAATGATAAATTGATTGGGGTCCTGATTTTTTCCCAAGGATTTGACATTTTTGGTACATCTTTTTAGGTTGTCTCATCACTTACCACAACCTAATGTTTTGTATTTAACTGTTAAGACTTTGGAGCGTTCTCTTTTTGAAGACCTACTTACTGGAGTCAATGTTTGCAATGCATTTCAGAAGAGGGCTCTAGCCTTAAGATGGAAACATGACTTTCAGCTGTATATGTGAAAGAAAGTCAGACAACAGTTATTAAAACCTTTTGCCTATAGAGTTTTCAAAAATTTACATTTTATCAGAATGGTCTTCAGGCAAGCATGAAGTCTCAATGCAAAGTTTTCTTCATCAATTCTGGCCAGCAAGTGAGACTGATTGAACTTTCAAGTTAAGTTGAAGCACGAGAGTAGCACCATTTTGAGAAGAAGATGGACCATTCAACAGAAGCAGGGAAGCGTTCACATTGCTCTTCTAGCAATTTCATTATATTGCCAAATGTGCAGTCTACAAAAAGCATTGCCGACGAAGGAAATGTGGTCTTTTTAACCGTAATGGTGCTTTGTGGCCATCTTGGGAGATGTACCCAAGAGAGACTTTCCAATTTGGTCTTGTTCGGTAGTGTAAAATGATGTGGACTGTGCACGAGCAGTTTTTGAGAATTGACACATTTACATGGACACATTTGAATGTGGATTCAAGGTGCTGGTAGTGCTCAAGTGTCCTGTACGTGTACATTATCTTATTTTGCAAGCAGAAGGCATGTGAATTGATATGATAGTTCATTGCTCTGTCCACGTTTTTTTTCCTCAAGAAGTGAATGTCACGACCAGCTACTCTCTAGTCCACAGTGTCCCTTATTCTTTCCAGCTGTCTGGTTTTTCGTGAGGGGGGAGGTGTTTGAAGGCAAAGCCCAGGTGATTAACTCCTGACACCACTGAGCGTAAATTGCAGGCTAGAGCAGATTGATTATTTGGCCAGTGTTGATTAGTTGGACCTGGAATTGAATAGTCTTCAACCTGTAATTATTCCAACATTTGCTTGAATTTGAAATTAATGAAAACAAGCTCGTTTGTAAAGCAGAATGAAAAAGATGGTCTTACTTGTGAAACAAAGAAGAATCTTCCTATCCGCCTTGTGGATGGGATGGCAGTCCATCGCTGGTTACTCCCCTGCTTCTTCTGGTACCTGCCAGAAGCACCTGGGTGAAGAGGATCAGACTGGGGTAAACTAGCCTGCTCAAGGACATTGCACATGCACAGCACTTGTCAGTACAAACTCCTGACACTAACTGAGGGTCATAAAACCCACCAACTTGGTAGATAGGACTCTAGGAGGCATGGTTTGAGACAAATTTAAGTTGTAATTTAATATGTGAAATATTGTTTTTGTGAATATGTATGGTTCTGAAAAGAACTTGAGGGAATTCAACATTTCGGACAATATGCTCTGTCTGTCATCTGGAGACTGCGGGAATTCCAATGGTGAAGTGGGCTTATATGGCAACTGGAGGAATTGAGGTATGGATAAATTTAGGGGATGTCAGTGAGGAAATACATTTTTGGACCTATTTTGTTTTTTTTTTTTAAATTTAGTTTATCATCACTTAGACAAAATTTTCTTGGGATTTGGGGGCCAGCTTTTCTGGGGAAAGCATGGCTTTGGGGCCTAGGCGAGATTTTGTGCTTCCCTAGGCCTCGCACCAGTGGCTGCTACTGGTACTTACCTCTGAATCTGCCTCTTCATCAAATCCATTACTTCCTCCAGGAATACAGGAATGATTTATTGCTCAGAATTTGTATAAAGAACAAATTGTGGAGCACAAAACTATTACACATTATGATGTAGGATTTATTTTCCCAACTTAATTATAGGGTACAGACTTTTGTATACACAAAAGGATTAAACAGGGTCATACAAATAAAGCTTTGACTGACATTCAACATTCACAATACCCATACAAATGGCAAGCAATACAAAAAAATAAAAAAGACACAAACATTTGAAAAACAGGTTTACTTAAACAATGACAAGCATTCCTTGGGAAACATGGCCATCCTCCATGGATGATTTCATCCCGAGTTCTTGAATTTTGTGTCATTTTTGATTTCCTCAATTGCTTTCATTCTGTCTGGTCATCATTGTTTTTTTTAATCTGTTTAATTCTTCTATTAAACCTTTCCCCTGCTTCTGTTCCTCTTATATCCCCATCTTTGGTACATGGAGCGACAAACCATCTGTCGGGGAGTGCAAACCGAAGCGTCTCAAAAAATTTACTGTATAAACATGCGTTGTTGGTGCGCACACTAATTAGATGCAATAAAACCAAGTC